GAAGCGAGCAACGGCACGCTCGAAGGGGTCGGCAGGCATGATCGGGTTGTCAGCCCAGGTCTCGTCGATGTACTGCAAGATGATGACGGACTCCACGACGGGACGGTCGCTGTGGAGGAGGACGGGGACCTTCTTGTAGACGGGGTTGTGGAGGAGGAGGGCGGGGCTAGGGTTGATGGCATCCTCCTCCTGGTACTCGAACTCCAAGCCCTTGAGCTTGAGGGCGAGCTGGACGCGGTGGGTGTGGGAGTCTGCCCACGAGCCGAGGAGCTTAAGAGAGGAGGGTGGATCCATAACCCGATGGTGGCTCCTTGCAAGGAGGGAGGACAGTGATGGTTCTCTTGACCTCTTCTATGCAGCTCGGAAGTTTTAGGCCTTTTATAGAAGGAGAAGAGAGGCTGGCTTTAGGGTCTGCGTACAGACGTGTAGGACCCAGAGTGCAGTAGGAACCCTAACATGGATTCCTTGGGAAGGCTTCTTCACCAAGCCACTCTCCCACACCCACTTCTTAGTGGGTGATTATGATCAGTACAGAAACCAGATGGATTACACTGTGTTTAGGTGATTATGATCAGAACAGATCTGGGGAGCTTGTGCATGGAGGAGGAGGAGGAGGAGAAAAGTGAGGCATGTGGGTAGAGTCAGGTGGGGAGGGGCATAGCAGTATGAGTGGGGTGCCTAACGCCATTTCAGCCTGCTGCATGGTACGTGTGTCTGTACTTGGCCACATGAAGCCAATTACATGTTACGATCATTAGACTATGAAGCTTGGGACCTTTCGCCATTGGAAATGGATTTAAAGGTGGGACAGCTGAATCCGTCTCCTGTGTTCATGCAGCATTCATTCCCACAACAGCACAGCCACAACATCGCCGTTGTAAAGTGATTTCTCTGAGTTCGAATGGACATGAAGAAGCAGCACGGCATAATAATTGCAATTGAAATGGAATACTCTGTATATCAATCACCATAAGTTGATCGTCCTTTGGATGCAACGGGAGACAAAACACCGAGTACGTCACGTGCATGGCATGTGTCGAAATCTAGTGCGGATTATAATTTGCAAGAGTACAAATGCAGGAGTATCCAATGCAATCTATATGAAATCGTTGAGGAATTTAAGCAAACACAAGAAACGCAAAAGCTCCGATGGACCACCACAGTATTGACAAGCAATCAAAGGTCATTATGACCGGCCATAAAGACATTCATTCCCATCAAACCCCAAGCCGGGCCATGGAGCTCGTCTCCGTGACGTCTCACTGTGCCCTGTCTTCAGCTCATAGTGGAAACGACGAGGCCCCACGGTGGACACAGGAGTAACGTGTGGAGGACGGCGGTCACCGACTCCGCTGTCCTTCGATCCCCCGCGCATGCCAAATCCGCACAGCAAAAGAAGGATAGGATAGGAAGTCTCATCCATGGTCACGTCCATCTCGTCTCCCACACGCATTCTTGTTCAGTTCACTGTTCGACGTAGCAGCAGCAGTTTGCAGTAGACAAGAACAGAACGCTCATGTGATGCTTGCCTGCGATGCGTAAAACAAGAAACTTCTCTTCTTTGGATCGGAATCTCTCGTCTCTCTCTCTCTCTCTCTCTCTCTCTCTCTCTCTCTCTCTCTCTCTCTCTCTCTCTCTCTCTCTGCACTGTTCCAAGGTGAGGAGGGGAAGAGGCGAGGGTGACTGGAGCGCATTCCTCGACTCACACTGCGGCTACTGCCTCATGGTGCAGTGCAGTCTTGCTCTGTACCCTTCATAAGGAAATTTACCGGACAAAGGACCTGACACAGTCCGATCAATAGTTCTCAATGGCATGGCATTGGCTTGTGTTCTTCTTGTCCGAACACCTGAGAGCTCTCTAAGTCTCCATTTCAAGGGGCTGTAGCTGCATGTTTGCACGCTTTGTCTTCTGAGCATGTAAACCGAGATGAACACACAAGTAAACCGCTAAGCTAATGTACATGCATCCTAAGCCACAGAAGGGATCACGGGGCTCAAGAAGAGGCAAAGGAGACTATTTGGTCCTATGCATTCTATGTGGGAAGGCATCGATCTTGCTGCTAGTTCTCTGTTCTTCTACGTTGCTACACAAATGAGCTATCATAGGATCTACGACACAAAGAGACGAAGTAAAGGAGGAAGACGGTGGGATGGGTCTGTCTGCTAAAGCTAAAGCTTTGCATGGCACGGTGTGGTCATACGTCTTGCGTTTGTCTTGTTCACCATGCAACATGTCGGTGTGAAACCCTGTTCGTATACAAACACAAAGCATCAGTCAATGGCGAGGAAGTAATCACTGTGGTAACTTGTAGAGTGCAGAGCAGATAAAGTCTCCTTTGACGGGTCAAGATGGGAGAAAGCCAAATCAAGGACACCAGGGAGCCGATGCATTCCAAAGATAAGACATCACAAGAAGGATCAAAGTCCTACGACTTGCATGAATGTAGCCGGGAAATCTTTTATCAGGCAGTAAGGAGACCTTTCGGCATGGAAGGCAGAGCCTGGTACAGCTTTGAGCTTTGACCGCAAGAAAGAGCAAGAAGAAGAAGAAGAAGAAGTCTTCCGGAGCAAGTTAGCACACCACAATCTGAGATTGCAGTCAAAAAAGCTGGGCAGCAATTCCAGGAAACCTTGATAAGTGTAATGAGGCATATAACCTGGACACCTAAAGAGTCAGAGTAGGTTTATTTTCCTTTTAACATTTGACTTTGACCAGCAGGCATGAAAGCTTATGATCTACGTTCACATCTGCAATTCCTTGAAAAGCAGGTTGGAGATCCACAGAAGTGGGGAGCTTCCTCCTGTGACTTGGATTGCTTTAAGTCTTACATGTCTGCCTGGAGTAGACATGATAGAACAAGGGGTCCATGTACTGCAGGAATCTTTCAGCTCATCTCAGATTGCAGATCAACAGTTTGATGCACCCAGAGACCTTTAAGACTCTGTGTCAAACAATAAAAATGAATTAAGATGGAAAGCAATAAGCAATTAAGACTGGAGGAAGGAATAACTGCAGAAGGAAAGAAAAGATTTGTATTTTCTTTTTTTCCATCATATCTAAAAGACCCAATTGCATGTCAAAACAATTGAACTACACAGACCTGAAAACAAAGATTGACAGGAGGCAGAAACTTGTCAAGAACTGTTTTCACTCTATGTTGGCATGAAGATTAGCAGCCCAAGTCCCAACCAGATAACATTGACTTGGTGGAGTTGAGTCTCAAAAGGCCCAAACCAGTGTCTCTTTCGGACAGCCTATTTAGAGCAAATTGAACCCAAGCAAAGCCTGCCTGCTGCTCAATTCACTGCCCTGCTCCTGCTCCTTGGAAGGTGGTTTTGCTTCAAGTGCATTGCTTCACTTTCTCCTCCTTTCTTTCTCCTCTTTTGGTTTTGGGGAGGGCATTCATCTGTTTCTGCACTTACGATATCTCCTTTCTGAGCGCTACACATATTTGTACTCCATGGCCAATCTCTTCCTCATCAGACCAAACACTAGATTGTTTGGCCTATGAGGGACTTGTGTAGACACAAGTGTTCATCCATTCAAGATTCTTTAAATTGATTCACTCCTCCTCCAGCAAAAAACTGGTATATTTTCTTTAAGGTAAATTCTTCATAAAGACTCTCAAGTTTTTATTATTTGTTTTAGAGTATTCCTTTTTTACTTTATTCTCTCATAATGCTAATTTCTATCGCACCATAGCCGTTTGAAAGGTGGCATCTTTTTTTAGAAAATAACGAACATGATGCCGGAATAAAAAGAAAAACGGTTTGCGGGAAATGAAATCTTAGTTTTTTTAATTTATCATTTCATATTCAGCTAATTATCGTATTACTTTCTATAATTAATTATTTTTAGTATTTTATATTTTATATTTTAAAAAGTTATATTAGCATCCTTATAGTTATAAAAGTGAAATATGTAGATCTATTTACCCTAACGAAAATACAAAAATAAAAGATAAAAAATAATTTTAATATTATAATTGGTGATGATAGACGATATCGATAATGACGAATGACGGGACATTAGAAGCCACGAGTGCCTATTGTTGATGATGAGAGTGACGATAAAATGTGAGGGTCGCTCGGTAATTTTGTCGACAACGAGTACGATAACATACTTAATATCCAAGACCCATTTTTTTCTCCCGTTGTCGAATACCTCCACTCAACATCTGCATCAACAACCCTTTTGTCACTCGACAAATGCATCGCATCAACGTAGATGGTGGTGGTCATTGTAGTATCTACAACGAAGATGGTGGTTGCCTTATGTGCAGACCTGAAGCTGAGGTCACTAAAGCTCATATTGCTCCTCTTGCTGTCGCATCAATTCCAACATGGACATAAAAAAGGGGAGATGAAGGGCTCATTGGCGGAGGAGTTCTATTCATCATGGTTATCATCAACACGAAAAGGAATCTTTGGAAGGCTAGCACGTGAGCGATTATCGTACTCCCGACAAACGTTTCCGATGACTATTGAAAGATATGAGTCTCAGAATTTGATGCCGAGGACATCGTCGTACTTGTCATTGATGCAGTTGTTGAACGATATCTTTCGTCATTGTTCTTCCCATCAACAACAATCACTCGTAACCCTCGATAGTATCATTGTCCATTACCATCAAATAAAATATTAAAATTATTTTTTAATATTTTCGTTAGGGTAAATAAACGTGTATAACTATGGATGTTAATATAAAATTTTAAATTAACTAAATATATCGGATAATATAATTAGCCTCTCTGTTGCTTTCAAGCGAAGCGACGCAAACAAAACATGAGGCTCTCAGAGCAACTGGACGGTCGAGATCATCACAGGGACATTTTTTTCTACTATTTCAGGGAGTACTCGTTTTATCTACCTTATTTTTTATTTGATGAAAAATGATGGGATCGCGATCTCGAGTCGCCAAGCAAGCAGCCAGACTTTGCGGGTAACCGAGGAATGGGTAGAACTGTGTTTTGTCGGATTGGTCCCTCACGTCAGCAGAATGTCCCGCTTGCTTACCCAAATCCTGTGCTGAGCTGCCTCGTCTCTGTCGCCGTCGTCTCTTCGAGGCCAAACCCCTGCCTAACTCCTTCGCCTCCTATGGCGGAGCCGTCCCCCTCCTTGTTACTCCTCCCCAACCCGCCCTACGGCGACCTCTTTCCCGACGGCCTCCCCCTTCTCCCTTCCTCCTCCGAACTCCATGACATTGATCTCGACTTCGACATCGACGATTTCCTCCGCTCGCCGGACCCTCACCACCATTCCCCTACCTCCGATCCTAACTCCGCTGCCGATGGGTCTGCTGTCTCGTCCTCATCCTCGACCCAACATGACCGGTCCGGCCTCGCACCCCGCCCCTCCTCCCCCGACTCTTCCGCTGCCTCCGGACTTGCCGTCGTTGTCGACCCAGAAGTCAAGGAGAAAGAGGGAAAGGTCGGATGGAGCCTTAAGCGGAAGATGGAGAAGGACAACGATGGCTTATCTGACCGCCGCACTGACTCTGATCTTAACCCTAACCCCAGGAGCATCAAGTTCCAGCGATCCGAGGAGGCGAGCCCGCCTTGCATATTTGGTTCCGGGAGCCAGGAGGAGGAGAAGAGGAGGGCGAGGCTGGTGAGGAACCGGGAGAGCGCCCAGCTCTCCAGGCACAGGAAGAAGCAGTACGTCGAGGAGCTGGAGGACAAGGTCAGGTTAATGCACTCCACGATTAATGAATTGAACACCAAGATCTCGTATATCATGGCCGAGAACATAAGCTTACGGCAGCAGTTGGTTGGAGGTGTTGCTCCTCCTTCCCCTGTTTATCCTCGGCCAGGGGCAATGGCGCCCGTGAATGTCCAGTGGATTCCGAGGTATTCGTTGAATCCACAAGGGACACAGGTTCCTTTGGTCCCAATACCTAGATTGAAGCTTCAAAAGGCTACACTTGCTCCCAAGGCCAAGAAGTCAGAGAGCAAGAAGGGCCAAAGCAACACGAAAAGAGTAGCTAGTGTGAGCCTCATGGGCTTGTTGTTCCTTATCCTAATCGTTAGAGGAGCATTTCCCAGTCTAAATCTTCGATATGGAGGCTACGATGATGACGAAGGTCTCAGCAATGGACGGATTTTGTGCCAGGCTAAAAGTAGAATTTTGAGCGTTAGAGGTTGTGGTAATGGTCTAAACAGCTCCAACGACATTACATTATGTAGCAGACAGAAGGGTTTTGGAGGTGGTATAGATAGTGTTACTGCTAGGAAATGTGAGAATGTTAAGGTGGGCCCTGGAATGAATCCAAAGGGGCTTAGTTCATGGCCTTCACCTGGTTCAGAAGCTGTTTTCACACAGAACTCGAGCGAGAGTCTGCCTGCTCTGCTTTATGTGCCTAGGAATGGCAAGCATGTGAAGATTGATGGAAACTTAATAATCCATTCTGTTCTTGCTAGTGAGAAAGCCGTACAACAAACAGAATCAAGCCAGTCATTGGACAAAGAGACCGGCTTGGCTATTGCTGGTAATGTGATGTCAGCATTGGCCATTTCTAAAGCCGGAAAGGGGTTGGATCTTCAGCATTCTAAATCTTATGGAGATGCTTCTGACTCTGATGATACATATGTGAACAACTTAAAATTAACCTCATCTGATGGCCCACATCAACAATGGTTTCACGAAGGAATGGCAGGTGAGCATATCAGTCCTCTTTTGTTCATATCTGTCTGGCCTTTCTGTATTAACATTGCTTCACTTGAATGCATCTTATCAATTTGGCAAACTCTTTTTTCTTTTAATGTCATATGTGTTATACTTCTCTTGCTAATAATTGGTAATTTGTTTATGGTCGTTGGAACTATTATGCTCTTCAATTTATTTCAATTAAGGTTTTCCAGTTGACTAAGAAATTCTTTATACTGAACTATAGAAGGTGTTGCATAACAATTGCTCCAGCTCTAAAATGGAGATTTTAGTACAAAGTTCTTTTTTTTTTGCTTGATATGCTTTTTATGCAATGGATACGGTATGTGGGAGCAAAATGTAATTTAATGGTGTCATCATTAGTTCTAATATCACTTGTATTGTGTCTAAATAAATTGTTTCATTAATTGTACACATAGGATAGGATCCTGTGTCTTATTTATATCTTATTTTACTAGTGCTAGCAGTGACTGTAAGGATCATTATTGTTGTTGATTATATGAAAGAGGATAGGACTTAAATGAGGATGGAAGTTGTTAGTGAGGTTATTATAAGAAATTCTAGTAGTGATATAACTGTTAAATATGAAGCTTCCTCCAAGGTGGTTGCTGGTATTCTGACTGGTATAGGAAAATATGTTAATGGAATGTGCATTTTCTGAAATAAGGTCAGTGAGCAATAAGCTCAATTTAAAGGAAGAAAAAAAGAACAATTTAAGGATATTAACAAAGTCAGCATGTTTAGGTTGCTAATATCTATAACGTAAAAATATTAATAACTGCCAATTTTACTGAACACAATGACTCCATGTAAAAGATTGCCATGTCCCCAACAAGCGAATTGCACATCAATTTGAAACTAATTATGACCAATCTCAATGTGGAATTTGGTTCCTTTTGTGTGTTCTCTATCTTATTTTGTGTAATTTTATGGCTACATGCAATTCATTATCACTTCTGCTTGGACGCTATGTTTTATTTTTCCACTTATGTTCCACAAGTGGCTACATAATTGAAATAAGCAGCTACTTAATTTGTAACTACTGATGCATTTGTACACATGTACGCATGTTGGGCAAGAATTTTCAACCCAGCATTATATCACAATATTTATTTGTAGCTTATGGTTTAAGTTGGTAATATGCTCATTATCAATCATAACCAACTTGATCCACATAAATACTTCAAATATGAATTTGCTTAATTTGATTATTTTATAGTTAGGAACTCACAGCGTACATTTAGCCTTTTATTATTTATAATATTTGAGTTTCTAATTTCATCAATTATGGTTTTTTACTTTTTATATGCATTATCACTGACTGTGTCGCATGTCTTTATAGCACTCTGGTGGTAATCATGATTAGTGGCATTGGTATCAAATTTTCACTGCCATCACTTTCTTATTGTATATATGGTAATGGGACAGCGTAGTTATAGTTTCTTATGTAACTCTGACTACTATTGATTCATTTGCAGAATAGCTAGTTTTAGTCATCTTATATTTGTTAAATGACATGTGCAGAGGCTTTGTCATTCTCAAGCTTGCAGTCATCAGAATGAAAGTTGAATGTAATGTTGATCATGATGTTGCGTGTATTTTGGTATCTGCATTATTAGTAAAAGATAAGATGCTTAACCATTCTAGCCTGAAGAAGGAATCCTGCATATTGGATGTTTATCTTTTTGATTTAGTTTGTGTATGCAGATTTAAAATTCTAAGCATCACTTCAAATGACTCATGCTTTTATTGCATCATTAATGTGACTGATCTAGAAAATTTGATGATTACAACTATGGCAACGATGATGTTGATGTGTTTTTCTAAAAGAATTGTATTATCCGAGTATCTTTACCCACTGGATTTATATCATCTTGATGGAGCATTGTCTGCGCCCTTGGAAATAATTTTCACAAATGGCTGAAATTGAGTTTGTTTTCTTGCAGGCCCGATCTTAAGTTCTGGCATGTGCACCGAGGTGTTTCAGTTTGACGTCTCATCATCTTCCTCTTCAACTAGCATCTTTCCTACCAGTTCAATCATGAACGGTTCCTCGATCACTAATGCTACCGAGAACCTCCCTCCTAGTTCTGCTCGCCCTGGGAAGAATAAGAACAGGAGGATAATGCATCCCGAGCCACTTCCACTCCGAGGAACCACAAGAAACAACACAAAACAGTTTGACAAGTCTTCCGAAAGAAGCAACCTTCACAACAACAAACCTGTTTCCTCAGTGGTGGTCTCTGTTCTGGCTGATCCCAGGGATGCCGGTGATGGTGAGGGCGATGAGAGGATATCACCCAAATCAACGTCTCGCGTGTTTGTTGTTGTGCTTCTGGACAGCATCAAGTATGTTACCTACTCCTGTGTTCTTCCATTTAAAACCTCTGCACCCCATCTGGTAAACTAATTTTGGCAGTAGGATTAAACCTGAATGCTAATTAAAATTCTCCGTTACTTATCCTTAGCATTTTTGAGTCTGATACTTCATAGATTGGCTTTTGGTGCAACTAACATCTTACTTGTTTGTACGTTATCTAGTTCGACAATTTATTGTGTCATATGTAACAAGATTCACCTGTCCGTAGCATTTGCCTAAATAGTCTGCCAAGCATTCTAAGTGGTGCCAGTCTCAGGTGTCTACCAAGTAAACTCATCATGTCCATCCGCTTGAATGCTTTTTTCTTTATCTGTTCACAATGTCATCAATTCCAGTGCTGATGTTAGGAGGTCGAAATTACATTCTGTACTACTTAGTGCCACCATTTGGCTTTTACTTTGTCCGAAAATTCAGATTTAATTCAAAAATCTAATATAGTTTATGCTCTGGAGATTACAATGCAAAAAGGATAAAAAGGTAGGCTGCTTTCGAACCACTTTGCATTTTGTTGATGGAAACATACTAATATATTGACTTTTAAAAGGTATTTAATGGTTGCTTGTTCCACAAGAATGCTTTTACATCACATGAAGCTCTTCGTAACTTCGTGAAGAAGAAGCTTCGGTTGACTTATGAATCTTTCCTTCTTTTATTTCTCAATCAAATGAGACTCAAGTCCTATGTTTGTTTTTTGTTTTATGTTCCTTCAAAAAGTTCTATTTTTTTTATGTCACACATAAAACTATCTTCTTTTATTGTGACTGATTAGCCACACACTTATAAGAAGCATTCCTCTTCGATCATGGTTGTAATGGATCTCCTATCTCCACAATCCGTCCTTTTGGTCCTCCTCTTCTCCCTCTCTTCCCTCTACCTCATCTTCTTCTCTAGATGGAACCACGGCTCAGCAGCTTCCACCACGTATCCCCCCAACCTCAGGCCCTACCCGTTGATCGGCCACCTCCCCCAGTTCTTGAAGAACCGCCACCGCCTGCCCGACTGGTTCGCCGAGTCCCTCGCCGCCACCCCCACCAACACCTTCCTCGTGCGCCGCCCCGTCGGCATACGCAGCGTCATCACCGCCAATCCCGCCAACGTCGAGCACATCCTCCGCACCCGCTTCGACAACTACCCCAAGGGCCCTCGATTCCGCTCCATCCTCCACGACTTCCTCGGCCACGGCATCTTCAACTCCGATGGCGACGCCTGGCGCGTCCAGCGTAAGACCGCCAGCTTCGAGTTCAACTCCAAGTCCCTCCGCTCCTTCGTCGTCCGCTGCGTCCACGAGGAGATCCTCTCCCGCCTCCTCCCTTTGCTGGAGAAGAGCTCGCATGACGACTCCGCCGTCGACCTCCAGGACGTCCTCGAGCGCTTCGCGTTCGATAACATCTGCAAGGTGGCTTTCGACCATGATCCCGTCTGCCTCGCCAAGGACGACGGTAGCTGCGGGCAAGACAACTTCTCTACTGGCTTCGCCCTCGCCTTCAACGACGCCTCGAACACCAGCGCCGCCCGATTTCGTTACGTCCTCCCGAGACTGTGGATGATAAAGAAGCTGCTGGGCGTTGGTTCGGAGCGGCGGCTTAGGCAGTCGATCGCCACGGTCCATGGCCTCGCCATGCGGATCATACGGGCAAAGAAGGAGAACCGGACCTCTTCTTCGCTGCCCCAAGCCGAGGATCTCCTCTCTCGGTTCATCGCCAACGAGGACCACTCCGAAGACTTCCTCCGCGACATCGTCATCAGCTTCATGCTCGCCGGCAAGGACACCATCTCTTCGGCGCTGACCTGGTTCTTCTGGCTCCTCTGCTCTCGCCCAGACGTGGAGGCCAAGATCATGGACGAGATCAGATCAATTCGAGCCCGGCGCCCCAGCACCTCCCCGGCAGTCTTCGACTACGAGGAGCTCAGGGACATGCACTACCTCCACGCGGCCATAACGGAGTCAATGCGTCTGTACCCTCCGGTGCCGTTGAACTCTCAGTCTTGCCTCTCGGACGACGTCCTTCCAGACGGCACGGCTGTCAAGAAGGGATGGTTAATGTCGTACAACTCCTACGCGATGGGGCGGATGGAGGCCATCTGGGGGCCAGACTGCCGGGAGTACAAGCCGGAGCGGTGGCTAGATGAGGGGAAGTTCCGGCCGGAGAGCCCGTTCAAGTTCCCAGCGTTCCACGCGGGGCCGAGGATCTGCCTGGGGAAGGAGATGGCGTACATCCAGATGAAGTCGATCGTGGCGTGCGTCCTGGAGAGGTTGGCGGTGGAGTTGGTGGACAAGGAGGCACGCCCCGTCAAGATGATCTCATTGACGTTGCGGATGAAGGGCGGGCTACTGTTGCGCTTCAGGAAGAGATCCGTCTGACACTGACGTCGCTCGTTCATCTATGTCTGTGTTTATAATGTTTATGGTATTTAATATGGATGTTAATCTAGTCATTAAGTAAAGCAAGTTTTGATTTGGTCTCATCTTAATTCTATTATCATTATAATTTCATCTAAAAAGCCAAAGTCATTAAGTAAAGCTAGTTTTGATTTGGTCTTATCTTAATTCTATTATCATTATAATTTCACCTAAACAGTCAAAGTCATTAAGTAAGGAAAGCTTTGATTTGGTCTCATCTTAGTGCCAGATCACGTCATTTTCCAACGGTGTGTTGACCGCGTTGACCAATGCTTATCTAATTCTGGATCCGACGAGGCGGCGGCCCAATGAGGGGACAGATTGCCATATCCGATAGATTGCGCATATCGCTTCCGGTACAACGCACCGTCTCCAAGCGTGAAGGACTACAAACGTTGGAGTTAGGACGTACGGTTCGCACGTAAGCAAAGCGAACTCCAGCCACAAAATATGGCAATTAGGACTCAGAACACGCGCACTCCCAGTGTGAGATCTGAAGCCTTCTTACGTTCTTCCCCCCTTCCTGTCGACTCCATTCGTCTCTGCAATTGCTTCCCATGGCTGCATCCACGCTTCCCTTCTCTTGCCATTTGCCTGCTCTGCTTTCCTCGGATCTGCAGAAGGCTTCCCCCCTCCTGCCTACGCAGTTGTTTGCAGGGACTGATCTCCCGCACCACCGGCATCGTCATGGGTTTCTCACGGTTGGTTGCTTTCATATCTACCTTCGTCTTCGCTTATCCTTATAATTTGATTTGTTGTTGGGTGATTTAGAAAAATCTATAGAATAAGGGTAGGGTAGCTTTTTCCTTTTCAATGGATGACGCATTCTCTTTCTTGTTTACTGGTGAGAGAATACTATCGATGGGAAATGAAAACAGAGGATAAAGCGGAGAGGCTCTAAAGCCCTTGATGATTCAGTTGGAAATTTTGGATCTTTACACTATCCTATTGCTTAATATCTTGTGTAATCCTGTCCTTGAAACTGCAAATGCTTGCTGCAGCCTAGGAGACGGTCATGTGTTTGCGCCTCACTATCAGGAACTGGGGAGTACTTCTCGCAGCGGCCACCAACTCCGCTGCTGGACACCGTCAACTATCCCATCCATATGAAGAATCTCTCGGTCAAGGTTACACGGATGAACTACGCTTCACGTGTTCGATGAAATGCTTGTGAGGAGCCCTCAACACCTGGTTCTCGAGTCTGATAAGTGTTTCAATTTATGCAGGAACTCAAACAACTTGCGGACGAACTTCGGTCAGATGTCATCTTCCATGTCTCTAAGACGGGAGGACATCTTGGTTCGAGCCTTGGAGTGGTTGAGCTAACCGTCGCTCTACACTATGTCTTCAATGCTCCTCAAGACAAGATACTATGGGATGTTGGGCACCAGGTTCTGTCACTCTACTTAATTCCGATCCTTCGGTGTGTATACTGAATTCATCAACAACTAGTACATGATGCTTTGTACATGAAAGAACTGAAGTTGCATAACCCTATTCTCATAAGTAGTCACCTAAGAAAAATGTTCGAGAGTAAGGAGAATGCATATGACAAAGGTTGTGTGACGATTTTGCAGTCGTACCCACACAAGATACTAACAGGGAGGAGAGACAAGATGCCTACGTTACGACGGACGAATGGATTATCTGGGTTCACAAAACGATCAGAGAGTGACTATGATAGCTTTGGAACTGGTCATAGTTCAACCAGCATCTCAGCAGCCCTTGGTATGTGGAAACTCTTATGTTGCTCGGTTAAATCATCAAAGTTGATCTGTTGTTTCTAAAGCTCATACACTGCAAAAGATTTAGATATTTTATTCCACCGATTGACCTTGATGAGCAGGGATGGCTGTCGGAAGGGATCTGAAGGGCAGAAAGAATAATGTTATAGCAGTGATAGGGGATGGGGCCATGACTGCTGGACAAGCATATGAAGCTATGAACAATGCTGGGTATCTTGACTCGGACATGATTGTCATTCTGAATGACAACAAGCAGGTCTCTCTGCCCACTGCAAGTCTTGACGGGCCTATACCACCAGTTGGAGCTTTAAGCAGTGCTCTCAGTAGATTACAATCTAGCAGACCATTAAGAGAACTGAGAGAGGTCGCCAAGGTTGGTGCTGGGAATAACAAAATCTTTTGCATGCCTTTCACAAGCTAAGGTTGAGAACATTACCAAACAAATTGCAAGTTGGACATGGACAGTAATTAATTCAGAGCTTTCACATGAAGTTGGCCATCAAAAGCTTTTTTTTATACTTCTTTTTAGAGGCAGGTTTTTTTATATAGACAGTCCAAGTCATTCTTTTCTGCATCCATCCAAGGCTTCTTTCATCAGCACTTCTTTTTGGTCCTACTACCCAAACCAAGTGCCACATGAAAACCAAGTTCATTACGAAGTGATTCGCTTACAAGAATACATATTCGTAATTAACTGTAAAGTGCATTGTTAATGCACACGAATAAAGACAAGCTCTGTTTGGCTGCAATATCTCTTATACTCTCTTCTTCATTCTGTCCCACATTTCTGATAATATTATAAATTGGAATGCTTTAGGGAGTTACGAAGCAGATTGGTGGATCGATGCATCAAATTGCGGCAAAAGTCGATGAATATGCTCGAGGAATGATTAGTGGATCTGGCTCAACTTTGTTTGAAGAGCTTGGTCTCTATTATATTGGCCCGGTGGATGGCCACAACATAGATGACCTCGTTTCCATACTCAAGGAGGTTAAGGACACAAAGACAACAGGTCCAGTTCTTATACATGTTGTAACAGAAAAAGGACGGGGATATCCCTATGCAGAGAGAGCTGCTGACAAGTATCATGGTATATTATGGAAAAGCTATTTTTGAGTAAATAAACTAAGGAATTATGATTAAACTTTAGTTTTTTTATCTGAGATTTGTAGTACCATAAGCTGCTATCTTATTTGCAGGTGTTACCAAATTTGATCCGGCCACTGGGAAACAATTGAAGTCGATCTCTCAGACTCAATCTTATACCAATTATTTTGCTGAAGCTTTGATAGCTGAGGCAGAGGTAGACAAAGATATAGTCGCAATTCATGCAGCCATGGGAGGTGGAACCGGCCTTAACTACTTCCTTCGTCGATTTCCAACAAGATGTTTTGATGTCGGTATAGCCGAGCAGCATGCTGTTACATTTGCAGCTGGTCTAGCCTGCGAAGGCCTCAAGCCATTCTGTGCAATCTACTCATCTTTCTTGCAACGGGCTTACGATCAGGCAAGCCATTGCCCTCATTTCTCCATTCTGAGCTTTGACAGTTTGTTTCACATAATTAATTGTTTCATTTATTGCTTAATCATCTATTTTGTTTCTTGTATCTTTACCAATAAGCACTACCAAACATATACAGTTTCAGCCTTTGGGATGATTTAACTTCTGTAAGTTTTAGATTTTCCTAAGTTGAATCATATTGTCAAATTGGCCCTAATCTGGTGCTGAATCCTTTTGAAGGTGCCCCAGGCAAGTGAGGGACTTGATTCTAGACTTGGAAAGATTAACAGATCAGTCAAATACCTTATTGTTCATGTGCATCTCTAACCATCTAAAGTTTATGTTTACTTTGGAAGCATCTATAATAAAAGAAGTGACAGTTCAGTTGAACACAAGATATCTTATTCATGTCTAATGTTTTGCTTGCCTAGTGGGTTGGTAATTTTTCTTACCCTTAAAGAGATTGTAGGTTATGTTAGCTTTGTTGGAAGGTGCTCTCGGATTATCCATTACAGTTTTACTTAATTGTGAAATTATTACAGTCGGCATAAAGAGAGACAGCACAAAATAACAAAAAAAATTGAAGAAGTTAAGCCAACTAGATCGAGCAATGATGAATTTGAGCTTTTAATGCAGGTGATACATGATGTGGACTTGCAGAAACTTCCTGTAAGATTTGCTATGGACCGAGCGGGGCTTGTCGGAGCTGATGGGCCAACTCATTGTGGTGCATTTGATGTCACATACATGGCATGTCTGCCTAATATGATTGTCATGGCTCCTTCCGATGAAGCTGAACTGTTTCACATGGTTGCCACTGCAGCAGCCATCAATGACCGGCCATCCTGCTTCCGATATCCAAGAGGAAATGGCATTGGCGTTCCCCTGCCCCAAGGAAACAAAGGTGTTCCGCTTGAGGTACTTGTTCAGAACAACATACATTTCATTCTTCTTTTTGTGAAACCTCCCTTGAGGAATCATGAGGACTCACATGACATTACAATTTGTAGATCGGCAAAGGCAGGATATTGATTGAGGGTGAGAGGGTGGCTCTTCTTGGATATGGAACAGCAGTTCAGAGCTGTGTGGCTGCAGCTTCCCTCCTGGAACAACGTGGTCTAAGGGTCACAGTGGCTGATGCACGATTCTGCAAGCCGCTGGATCATGCTTTGATTCGGAACTTATCTAAATCTCACCAAGTGCTGATTACAGTTGAAGAAGGATCCATCGGAGGGTTTGGCTCTCATGTCGCCCAGTTCATGGCACTTAATGGTCTTCTTGATGGCACGATAAAGGTAAGAGCAATCTAATGTAGGATTCATACATCGTGTTAGTGAATTGGTTAAATACGATTGCTGACTTCAGGTTTTGACTTGCTTGGAACAGTGGAGACCGCTGGTTCTTCCTGATCGTTACATCGAGCATGGATCACCCAATGATCAGCTGGCAGAAGCTGGTTTGACACCGTCTCATGTTGCAGCCACAGTGCTCAACATCCTTGGACAAACTAGAGAGGCACTTGAAATCATGTCATAGGAGATGCTAAAAGAGGGAAAGCATTTTAATTGCTTTTCCTTCAACTTTTCTTGATAGAGGGAGACTCAATTTTTGTCTCCTAAAATGTAAGAACTATATATGAGAGTGCAAGTAACTCCAGAGCAATCATCCATTGTCATGGAGTGACAGGATATTTTTAGATGTTAAAATAATAATTTCCTCATGACTAGTGAATTGGCTGGTGATGAGGAAATGTTAAAATAATAATTTCATATTCTCAAAATAGATAACAAGGTTTGTGCTATAGTGATTCCACCAGAATCAAGGAACTTGCCTGGCTACAGGATATCTACATCACAATATGCTGCAGAAATATGATCATGATCCAATATATAAATCATATTGTTTCCTTGTGCAAGCAGGACATTTGACAACCATAGCTGAATGGACCCCTAAATAATCAATCAATCAATCAATCAAGCATTCTGATCTCTTCCTATTTCTCAATCATTTTAATGTCTTGTTTTTTCCTTCCCAAAATGCATTAGGAGAGGCACATATTGATCGAAGTATACAAGAAACAAGAAATCAAAACGGTCCCAAGAAACATAATATGTTTGGTTGGGATGGAGGAGAAGGCTGTCTCTACAAGCAGATGAGGTAAAACCGGCACCCATGATTTGGTGTGTGTGTGGGTCTTTGTCTTCTTCGTCATCTATTGAATCTGCATGCAGTGGGTGATGAGATACCCAACCCAGCCCTAGTTTGCACATTCTCTTGGGGTAGCATCTGGGCCTTGTGCCAGCTTTTATGGCGTAGGAACGATCCAAACAAATACGATTCCGTGTGCTGCACTGCCGGCATCGGGGGCCGCAGTTTGCCATCAGCTTTTGTCTCCATTGCAAGTGGGAATAGACTTTCCACCATCGCAGCAGCAGCAACCACGAGAAGAAGAAGACGAAGGGAACAGCAGATGAGACCAAAGGGCAAAAGGTCCCATGCGACTGCCAAATACCACTCTATGGGACTCCATGATAGGTTGGTTCCAGATCTGATGCTATTAGTAGTGTATGCCTCTCCTCCTCCTCCTCCTCCTCCTCCTCTTCCTCCTGTGGTGGTGGTACACTGGTTCGGTGCAACATCGCCTTCACATGCAGAGGAGGTCGACAACTGATGGGATTCTGCAGGCATTCTCGTTGTCTTCTCATCATCTTAATCTGACCCATTCCGTGAGCACCATGACTTAGATAACCCTACTGCTTGTCTCCTTCAAGGCTCGATCCCCACTCTTCTTCTCGATTAGGTTTCTCTTGCAGGGAAAGCTACGTCCACCTATTCCTCCAAGGAGGAGGAGGAGGAGTGGTGGTGGTTCTGTTGCAGGTGCAGGACATGAATGTGACACTCCATTAATAATTAGGCAGAAGCAGCGGAGTGAGGTTTGCGTGGAGTTAATGTCGAGCTCGAGGCAGCGGTACGACGGTCTGGAATTGCGTGAAGCACATGATATCCACGTCCAACAAGACGACGAAGCCCCCCCTCTTCTTGTCTTTCGAGGGCACATGGCACGCACTTAATTTATGTGGCGACGTCATCGCATTAATCCCTTCCCTGACCTAACCCTCCGTCTCGTCTCTTGGCGATGTACGCTCCGCTGCCCATAGTTGCTGTCGCTCTTGTCAGTCATACCTAACAGTCCGACGGACCTCCGAGAAGTTGCGTGGGAGACAAAACAAGCTTTGGAACCTCAGGCTCAGCTTCGTAATTAAATCGCATGCGCTGTGGATGAACGAAGTCGATCGCATTCCACAGATTCTACTGGCCATGGATTGCTTTCAACGTGATCCGCTGCGGCTGTCATCTCGTCGAACGAATCACCTGCTCTGCTCCTTCGAGATTTAACTCCGCCATGGTCCATAAGCGTTAGCTTCGGGGGACCAGTAAGGTTGCAGTCCATGTTTCTTCTCTTCGTCTTTCGTCTTTCGAATTCCTTCTTCCCGAGGCTGCAATCGATCCAGCTCTCAGATCCACTGCCATGAGCTTTTACTTCCTTTTTGGCCGCATCCAGCGAGCTCCCTTCTGCATCTCTTTGGAACCCTCTTCAACGACCCATTTGTGGCCATCCCGAGAACCCATTCTCTCATGTTCCATTACAGTGGCCTGAATCGACCCGTCTTGGACTGACGCGGCGTCGTTAGGTCATCAGACCTCACCATGAACACGCTATAACTTCACTCCCCGGTGGTGTCAGCAAACTCTGCCACATGAATTGGGATCTGACTGCATTCTTCGCTGCCAAGGCACAAGCGCCATCGATCGAGTCCTTTTCAGGGAAATTAATGTGCTTCCGAGGCAAGCTTATGCGTGCAACCAAGCCAAGTAAGGCCAACCTACTCCCTGTAGAGCTCGTCACAAGCTACAATTGGAGCGAGATACACAGTGGTGTGCGTGCACCGATGGCACATTGTATATCTCTGGCTATTGTAGAAGGCACGTATCCTCTTCCCCTCGCAGTCACAGCGGCAAGTGAAGACAAAGCAGAGGGGGCCTGACATCAGATGGATAGGATGGCAGAGCAAGGGCGGAAGAGCGGACACGTTTCGAGTGTCTACTGGACTTCCATCTCCAAAGAGCACTCAGGACGTCCCCTGTTGTTGCCTCCGCCTCCGCCTCCGCCTGCAACCAGCAAACCACTTCCCGGTGTCCATTTCTGGACGTAGGGACAACTCACAGGGGTTTTGGCCATTGCAGTTGGAAGCACTCCTTCTGATGCCATCCATGCATGCTGTGGAGGTGAATGGGTGGGAAGGAACAATGCCCAGCAGCAGTGCATGGCACTGGCAACAGTGTGACGAAGACTTTGGTGGTTGCTGATCCGTAACGGGACATGAGGAAAAGGAAGACTTCCTACGTGCTTTATCTTTGCTGCACGGATGGATTGATTTCTTGTGGAGTTCATGTCGACATAGTTCCACTTAACACCATGTTCGAGCTCGGGAAATCATGCATTAGTTGTTGGCTTCGCCTTGCTTTGGCCACCGCCGACGAGAAGTAATCAAACAGTATCGAAGAGTGTGTACAAGGCAGGTGGATGGTGATGTAACGCAGAGAGAGAGAGAGAGAGAGAGAGACTCTCCCTGTCCATTTCCTCCTCCTAAAGAGACAAAAGGTAAGCTTGAAGGTCATTTTGAATGGGGACACCAATGTGTATATATAATGCAATAAAAGAGGAGAGGTAAAGGTCGAGACAGAGAGAGAAAGAGGGGTGGGAGGGGCCGCCCACTGATTTGTCGTGAGGCGAGTTCGCGTCGCCGTCACGCAGGAAAACTTTTGTCTTCTTCCTCCCTTCCATTCCACCCCTCTCTCTCACTCTCTCTCTGTCTCTCGGGTTGGCATCCAACTCGCTGTAGATTCTACTGTTCTTGGCGCACCTGTCACCTTCCGATTACTCCACAGATCCACCAACCTTGGGTTAATGTCCAGCGCTTACAGCCACCGTCCAATATACAATTCAAAACCCGGTCTTCGGGGCGCAGTAGTTTTCTCCCCGGCCCTCTGTCTCACAACCCTGGAACCCAAGCAAAGAGAATATGGTGGGTGGACTGCACAACGAGGACATTGCCTGCAATGATTGGGGACACTTCTCTCCTGCTACAGAACTCGAACCATGGAAAGCCAAACTGGGCGCTATGTGGTTTCTGTACTCGTCACCGATCAACCTTCGGATCACCCCAACAACAGAGTTCTCTAATCCTGCTTGCCGACGACATTAAGTGTCAAGTGGTTGGCTATGTGGGCTTCTATATTGAAAAGGGACAAACTTTATCCGCAAACTATGTGGTCTGTAGAGATTTCTCTTCTTCTTCTCTAATGTCTCTGATGAAGTGATCATTTCAAAGTTGATAGATTTTGCTAGGATTGGAGACCTATCTTTCTTTTGGGGGAAACATCAATGAGCTTTGACTACTACTGGATTGGAGACTTCCTCAAGGAGGCAAATTACATCCATTCTCTGTCTTCTTCTTCTTCTTCTTCTTCTTCTTCTTCTTCATGCTCTGTTTTATTACCCTTGGAAAAAGGGCAGCAATTTGAGGTGAAATCTACCTTCATCTTCCACTGGGCGTGAGGAGGGGGTCCACTCCGCCAAGTTCTTTTGGTGTCCCCAAATCATTTTTTTCCCCTTTGGCCGCCCCTATTTGGCCTCTCTCTCTCTCTCTCTCTCTCTCTCTCTCTCTCTCTCTTTACGTTGCACTCCTCCCTACCGTCGCGTGGTCCTCTCTACCGCTTCTTATCCTTCGACCCTTCGCTCTCTTCGCTCCCCCTCTCGCTCTCTCTTTCTCTGTGTATATATCTATCTCTGTCTCTCTGTTTTCTTCTTGCTTCTGCGGCGGCTCCTCGTCTCCCAGCCGTTCATGGCAGAAGGCCGCTCCTTTTCCGGAGATTAGCGGGATTGGTGGCAGAAACGAGCGAAAGAGGTTGCCGGGGAGAGGCGGAGGCGGTGCCAGGAGAGTGAGGGGCCGGGATTCGATCCATGGAGCCCATGTCATGACAAAAGGAGAGAGCTTTCATTGATGCTTTTTAGCTTCTGCTTCCGTATCTTGGCCGCCCGCTGAGCACGGTTTCGCTATGGCTGGCAGCAACGAGGTCAACGCCAATGAGTCCAAGGTACCATCTCCCTCTTGTTCGACTTTCTTCTCCCTTCTTCCTTCTGCATTCGACACAAGGCTTGGATTTCAAATTTCGATCGGTAGGCTGCGGTACAGTGCGTTTGATGTTAGGGTTTTGCGATCGGATTTGTGTCTTCGGGTCGTGTGGTGGTTTCTGTGTGGTTCGATTCGGCCAAAATCGGAGCTTTGACGGATTCGAGTTGACTCTACTCTCCTTTGCTGCGCCTTCGTCATTTGGCGATCCGTTTGTGTTTTCAGCTCTGATGATAAGAGTTTGAACCTTTGCTTGAGATGGATAAAGAGGTTGCAAAAAGCCCCATTAATGTCATACTGTCCTTATCTCGTCGTAGATTTCGATCAGGTAAAGCAAAAAAAACATGCTTTTGGAACCATCAGGCGCGTCCCCTCTTCCCAGAAATGCAAAAAGTTGGGAACTTTGATCCGCATTCATCTCCAGTTCTTCCTATACTTGACGAAAAGTCAAAGAAGATGAACCCCACTGCGTTCTCCTCATCTTCTGCTTCTTCTTTGTTGTGTGTGATGGCGGCACAGATGGTGGTTCCCCTCAACACGTGGGTCCTCATCTCCAACTTCAAGCTGGCCTACAACATGCTGCGCCGACCCGACGGCACCTTCGACCGCCACCTCGCCGAATTCCTCGACCGCAAGGTTCCCGCCAACGCCACCCCGGTCAACGGCGTCGTCTCGTTCGACGTCCTCATCGACCGCCCCAACAACCTGCTCGCCCGCATCTACCGCCCCGCCCCCTCCACCGCCTCCGTCGCCCCGCTCCTCATCGACCTCTACCGGGCTCCCTCCCCCGACCCCTTCCCCGTCATCATCTTCTTCCACGGCGGCAGCTTCGCCCACTCCTCGTCCAACAGCGCCATCTACGACTCGCTGTGCCGCCGATTCGTCTCCCTCTGCGGCGCGGTCGTCGTATCCGTCAATTACCGCCGCGCGCCCGAGCACAAGTATCCCTGCGCATACGACGACGGGTGGGCGGCCCTCAAGTGGGCGTCCGGCGAGCCATGGCTCCGCAGCGGGAAGGACGCCAAGCTTCGGGTGTTCCTCGCGGGGGACAGCTCCGGCGGGAACATCGCACACCATGTGGCTTTGAGGGCAGCGGAGTCTGGCATCGAAGTCGCCGGCAACGTCCTCCTCAATGCCATGTTCGGTGGCAACTGCAGGACCGAGTCCGAGAAGAGATTGGACGGCAAGTACTTCGTCACCATTCAAGACAGGGATTGGTATTGGAAGGCATATCTTCCCGAGGGGGCAGACAGAGACCACCCCGCCTGCAACCCCTTCGGCCCCAAAGGTGTGACGCTCGAGGGTCTTCCCTTCGCCAAAAGCCTGGTTATAGTGGCAGGGCTGGATCTCGTTCAGGACTGGCAATTGGCATACGCAGATGGGTTGAAGAAGGCCGGCCACTTCGTGAAGCTTGTCTACCGCGAGCAGGCCACGATCGGATTCTACTTGCTGCCCAACACCAACCATTTCTACCAAGTCATGGAGGAGATCAAGAACTTTGTCAGCTCCAACTTGTAGTGAAGACTGCAAGATCCATGCTGCCAGTTTCTGCAACTGTTCTATTGGATTCTGAATCATAGGTGACTTGGTTTGAGGAAGGGCTCTGTTCTTATAATTTCTGCTCTCCGACGACAAATTTGATGCAAGTGGAAGATGCTTGTAAGATCATAGGTGACTCTGTTCATGGAAGGGACAACCTTTCTTTCACTACACTAATATGTCGCCAATGGTGTCTGAGACAACCATGTTGTAAATTGAGGTTCCAGAGGACCGAGAGTCTTGTGTCTTCGGGTGAGATAGATTGCCAGGATTACTGGCAAATACCATAACAGTATGACTACACCGACATGGTTAACTTGGTTTCTAGTAATATAAAGATGCACATTGTGCCCTCTCTCTCTCTCTCTCTCTCTCTCTGAATATAAGTTCTATGCTGTCTGAGATGTAGTCATTCTTTGAGGGATCCAATCTACTCCATACATAACTGATCTTGATGTGCATCTGTTGTCAAAGTGTAAAACCTGAGAAAGAATGATCTGTTGATGTCATGATTCATGCATGTGTGAACCCCCAAAGGGAAAAGAGGACAGAGAAGGTGAGAATGGCAACTGGTACCAGATCATATGCAATCTAAAGCTATGGCCCATCCGTGATGATATGATCTCAGACATCACAATTAATATCCCAAGCTATTGTTTCCATCTTCTCATCAATGATTGATGCCCTGAAAACTTGCTTCAGCTACAAAAAAAAGCACAAGTCACTTGCAATTTTCTCTTTTGCAGAAGGAATCACCGAGTAAATGACTCTCGACAGCACGTAATTCTTTTCCACCACAGCTTAGTTTTAAGCACAGCATCATTAGTCCTTTCCTTTAGGCTACTCCCAGCACCGGTGGGACATAAACTGATTGAGTCTAAGGAACAGTAATGGAGAGGGTGTGGGGAGAACAAGACGAAGTGAAGTTGTCCCAGGCGAGAGACTTCTCCTTTGTCCTGTAGCATGCACTCCACAGACGAGAGAGAGAGCATTTGGATCACAGTCGGTCTGCTTCTTTGGCAGTGGCAGCCTTCGCCGGAGCTGCTGTTATTGTCATGCCTCTGGGAGCTGGCAACATGAGTTTTGTCGTGTAGAATCCACCAACCATTTGGAACCTTTTCTTGGCGTTCTCGTTGGTGACAGCGTACGAATGGCTTTACATTGGCATTAAACGCCAGCCACTGCCAGCAGACACGAAGGGGACACTTTGGCCCTTCTCTTGATGACTCGTGAGGCTTCTTCTTCCTTGGCAAATGGTTGGTTGGTTGGTCAGCCATGCTCCAGAAAAGATGGTTTAATCCTTCAGCTCCACAGTCTCACTGTTGCAATCTTTTATGCAGCGTAGGTAAGCTTGAAGGTCACAAGAAAACAACGCTTGAGGCACAATTCCTACGCACAAATAGAGAATGAACTACTTCATCATTCCACACTATTTGAGAGATATCAATAAAGACCTCTTTAATTTAAAAGGATACAATGCATACAGTATTAATTCGACAACAAATAGAGAGACTGTTTCCATATCTCGAATCAAATTAATTTACCATAGGGTGGAAGTGTGGGGGGTACCTGCAACATGAACATGTTTGTCTCTGTCCTTGACTGGAAGATTGCTACTTGGGCTTCTTGATCTTTTTTATCCATCTTCTACAGTTCAAAGAAGACTATTAGGTAACAGATAAACTTCCAAAATCAATCCAAGCAAAAGCCAAAACCAAAGGAAAAAATGAGCATACTATTCAGGAATATGACATCAAGAATCCTGAATGATACTAAGAATTAGCTCTGCCAGCCATGTTATCGGAAATGAATCCTGTCGGCGGCTACAAAATCCACATTCTATCATCTAGTAAACCTGAAACAAATTTCGTACCTTATTATGGTCCATTGAGATCATCCCACAGAAGGCTTTCCTCAAACCTGAAACAGATTGAGCTCGATTAACTTCAAAAAGCAGTGTGACAATATTCTAGCTTGTAACTTGCTCCTATAATCAAACCATTGGAAACTAATGCAAGATAGACTTGCACCTGTAACTAATAAAATAAACACAAAACCAGTAAACTCGATCCAAAAGAAACACAATTTCAGATGTTAGGAAGACTGGATCCATGCTGCTGCTACATGGCAGATTCACCCAGGCTTTATATGTAAAAGAAAAAACAGCTGCCATAAGATCTGATGACCTCTCTTATCTTCTGGTGCTTGAGATGATGATATCATGTGAGAAGATTTCTTCAATGTCTGACTTTATTTGATTTCTGGATTCAGTAACCACAAAAAAGGAGAATAAAAAAAAAGTAATGTCCTGTTTCTTGGTACAACAGCATCCGGCATGTCTGAATTACTTGGGGGTTTGTCATAGCTCTTCTATAGATACAAATGTGGGATATGCACAAGAAGTCAATCAAGCAAAACGAACAGCCATTCTTCACTTTAACATTTGACCAATCAGCTAGATTATGCAAATTCCCAGCATTGGTCTACAAGTACATGCAAAACATTAGCATATGCAAAAAAAATAAAATTGGACCATTCGAACGAACGTACTAATGAAATGATTGAAAATTAGTTTCATTGAAGATATTGTGTGTTAAAGTGTAGCAGAACCAACACAACCAAGTAAATATAATTATTTATCGCCAGTATTCAGCTAAAAAGCCAAATTTCATGATCTCAATTAGCTCATTGTTATGTATGTCCAAATTAATAGCAGTGGGAGTTGAGTCCCGTGGATTTGACTAAGACCATAAAAAGCCAGAGAATTCATAGCCAGTCGGCAACTAAATCAATAATAGGAAAAGATGGTTCCAGAATTCATAGCTACCTATAAAGCCCATTGACTGGAAAGTTAAGCTGATGTAAGAATGGTAACTCCAAAATAATTCAGTGAATGGGCAAGTATAGCCAAATCATCTCTGCCTAGAAGCCACATGGCATATTCCCAATATAGTGACAAACACTTGCTTACCACACTACATGCCGTAGTAAATGACTCATCTTTTCTAGCTAAAATAAAAAAGATAGGACAATCACATATGCAACCAATTACAAATCTGCACAAAACATCATGCGAAGTCAAAAAATCATGACCTTTAATCACTTCACCTACAGAAACTACTATAACTATTTATTCTCAAGTTCTGGTTGAACTTCATATTATGGTTTGCAAAACTAAAGATCCAGATATACAGGAAGTCTTCTATAACTGCAACTAATTTGGCAGACTAATGACATACGTCTTCTGTTTTTCGCCTTCTTCAACTTGTCATATACTCAGTGATATTCCTTTCATAAGGGTACATTCACTTATCATCAATTGTTTAAGTCCTCATGTTATTTATTGTCATAAGATGTTAAGGTTCCATTTGGTTGCTTGCTTGCGTCCGATGAAATGGGTTCAACCGAGTCCAATTGCACAATCAAATGTACTAAGAATTGCACTTCACAAGAAAATTTGAAGAGACGGGTCATCCTGAACAAGGCATCCAACCCGTAAAATAAAATAGGTATCACCTTGTTCCCAACACAAACCCTTCAAAGCTCAAGTTAGTTTTGAGTAGTGTTTCGTGGAATAAAAAAGTTTAGTTCTTAGTGAAAGAGTCTTGTTTCACCAACATGGATGCCGACATGGATACTATCACAATGAGGATACCATGTAGATACCAACATGGATGTCAACGACATAATTTACCAATTACCTTGTTGAGTTCTAACCATCGATCCAAAATACTGATAAGACCCAAAAGTCTTATTGTAAAAGAAATAAAAGAAATGATAAGGCTCTGATACCAAATGGTAAGACCCTAAAATCAAATGATAAGACCCTAAAGTCTTATCGTGGAAGAAAAGGGAGAAAAGGGAATGATAATGATCGCTTCGAGGGGATCGGCCTCCTTGATCACTTCGAGGGGATCGACCTCCTAGGGTTTGTCTACAGAGTGGAATAACATTTCATTGATTAACTGATTGATTGATTGATTCCAAAAGAAAGGGTTACATCACTATTTATAGAGTTCCACCTAGAGTCCACCAGGACTTGGACTCTTAATAATAAATAAATATTAAATAAACCTATACTTGACTCTAACTGGACTAAACAGACTCAATAAACAACTGAACTAAATAGACTCAATAAACATTATTCAAAAGCTCAGAAAAAGGGTCCTAACAGTTCCTCCCTCTTCAAATCAGCCTTGTCCTCAAGGCTGAGCAGCATCAATCTCGGGGAGCTTCTCTTTCAGCACTTTAGTCATAGACTATCTGCAACGCATCACAACCCGTTGATCAAGTAAGTATTGTCTCCACTTTTTGATAGTGTAAGCAACTAGTCGGTCTTTCAGTGTAGTAAACATTGCAAGAAACTTCTGGCCCTGTATAATCAATTTTATCTTTGAACCTTTGCTATCACAAGTGAAAATCCGTCCATCAACGATCTTTACTTCAAATTTGTCAGAGTCTTCAATGTGGTGGGCCAATCGGTCAGCGGTCTCACTATCCATAAAATTGTTAGTGCTACCAGTATCAATCAAAACTGTAATAGGCTGATGTTCCAGAGTTCCGCCAACTTCCATAGTTTGCGGGTTAGAGTAGCCGGTTAATGCATGCATTGTATGATAGGTCCAATATCTTTATTAGAATTTATACCTTCATGATCGAAGTCCACATTCTTAGCTTTCGGTTCCTCTCCAATTGGTTCAATCATCAGAAGTTGCCCTTGTTTGCATCGGTGCTCCTTACTCCACTTTTCATCGCAATGCTAGCACAAACCCTTCGCTAATCTTTCTTTAAGTTCTTCTTGGGTTAGTCTGCAAGTGATAGGATTTCGACTGGGAGTAGATGGGATGTGTTGCTTGCTGATCACTTGTTTATTGACACCTCTGTTTCGACGATATTCCATGCTGATTTTTTCCTTATGCAGGCGTGCAAATGAAATCGCATCTATCATGGTGCGGGGTTGACGAGTCTTAACTTTACACCGAATCTCCGGATTAAGCCCTTCAATAAATGTATCCAGAAGCTGTCGTTCCGACCAATCTCTAGCTTGATTTGACAATCTTTCAAACCTACTATGATATTCCAACACTGTAGAAGTTTGACGAATTTTGGCGAGCTGACCATCAACATTCTCATATTCGGATGGGCCAAATCGAACAAGAAGCCCTCTTTTGAACTTCTCCCATGAAGGAACTTCGTAAACAGTTTCATATCAATCGTACCACTAGAGTGCATCTCCCTTGAGCTGGATTGAGGCCACTTCTGCCTTAGATTCTTCTAGGGTTCTGTGAAAACGAAAAAAAATTTCCGCCTTAGAGATTCAACTAGTCGGATCCTCATATTCCCATCGTGGAAATTCTACCCTAATGCATGGGTAGTGTGTGTCACCATCCTGGGGTCCTTTTCCTGTACCTCCAAATCTGTTCAACACAGAACTTGAAACCCGCTAAAGTGCTCCAACAAGCTCTTTTTGAAATCATGAAGGATTTCTTGTAGCCGATTCTCAATTCTGGTTTTCAACACTTCCATTTGTGCTTTCACTAAGTTATCGGCAGCCATTGCATACGATTGCAAGTCGGTAATTCCCAATTTTTATTTCTGATGTCTAGCCAAGGGCATCCGCACTGTAGCTGTGAAGCTACCGAGGAGGAAGAGGTGCTGCCCTGTGTTTCAGTCGCTGCATGAGATGAGAGCATCGGGTGCTAGAAGGTGACGACTGCAACTGTTGTGACTCACAGGAGCGATCGCTAAATAGCCAGGTTGAGACTGCAATGACGGCATCCGGTGGCTGCGGCAGCGGAGGCAGAGCAAGGGAGAGGCAGCGTTGAAGTGGTCGGGGTTGAGGTTGCAGTGGAGAATAGGAATCGACGGTGGCACTGCGGGAACAAGGGCAATCGGTGATTTGCCCTGTTTCTGTCACCAGAGCAAGGGGGAGGCTGCGAGGATCACGGTTGGGCGACGAGCAACGCCGTCATTGGCTAGGCAGTAGCAGCGACGGTGACGACAGCCGGCGTTCGCAACAACAAAGAGACCCGCGACTGTGGTGCGACTGAAAATAAGGGCAACAAGGTGAGTTGCCTGTGCTTGTTCTGTTTCGGTTACAAAAGATGCAAAGCAAGGGGGAGCGGCGGCTGGGAGGCGAGCGGCGGTTGTCGCACGGTGGCTAGCAACGGTGGTGGGTCGGCTGGGCGGCGACGGCGCTCGAGGGGAAGAGGAGTGCTGGTGGAGACGCGGCTGCGATCGACGAGGGGTTGCGGAAACAGAGGAAGCTCTGTTTTTGCAACCGCTGCAAGGAGGGGCTGCAACAACCGACAGCTGCAGCTACGACCCAAGGGGGGGGCGACACGATGGCGGACTAGGGCAGCGTCGCCGACCGTAGAAGCGGCGATGGGGTGGTCCGTTGGCTGGGATCGACGAGGTATCACGGACAAACTTCGAAACAAGATGTTTGATGTAATGCTTATGTATGTCCGTGTCTTTTGGTATGTTCATGCTTTACACAGCATGTAGAGGGACGACCGAAGGCTTAATAGTCTCATTTTAGTTGGGTTTGGTGACCGCTTTAGGCTTGTAAATAAAGGTTGTGTCATGTGGACACTTATGAGAGATTTTCGATCTGTAATGGACCATTTTGACCCTTTGTTGTGCAATTGTTCAGAGCTTGTAAAGTATGTTTGTAATTTGCATTGTTTATGAAGTGTTTCTTGGAATGTTTGCTTGTGGATCCCGAGTGAGGCGCTTTCTCTAACCCGTTTTCTCTTTTGTAGGTCCTAAGGGACTATGGGGGGGGGGGGGGGTTTCGGGGGAGGCTGACCTTTGCGGACGGACACGCAAGAGTGCCGCACGACTTAGGCAAAACCAGCTAAGTCTGTGACAGAGGGGTTGCGGCAACAGAGGAATCTCTGTTTCCGCAACCGCTGTAAGGATGGGCTGCGGCAACCGATGGTTGCGGTTGTGACCCGGGGGGGGTGGGCGGGCGGGGCCGGGGGTTGGGGTTGGGGTGGGGGGTACGACACGATGGCGGACTAGGGCGGCGTTGTCGACGGTATAAGCGGCGATGGGGTGATCCGCTGGCTGGGAAACAACGCTGGCAGTCCTTCTCGCTCGAGCGAGATGGGGAAGCGAGGAGGAGAGGTTGCTGGCTGGGTGGGGGCAGCGGCGACGGCGGTGGCTACTGGCTGGGCAATAGAGGCGGCAGTGGTGGTCCCTCGGCCAGGAAGCAACGGCGGCAGGTGGGCTGGTCGGAAGCAGGGGTCCGGCAGGGAAAGCAGGGGTGGCTGCGGCTTCTTCTTCTTCTTCTTCTTCTTCTTCTTCTTCTTCTTCTTCTTCTTCTTTTCCGAAGATGAAGATAACTACAACAAGGGGGCAGCGGCGATAGTGGCGGCTGCTTGCTGGGCAGTAGCGACGACGGTGGAGAAGGGGCAACGGTGGTCGCTAACCAAGACGCAGAGGTTCTTTCTTGGTTAAGAAGGATCGACATTTGTGGTTGCCGGCTTCAGCCTTCCTCACACAATTTTTTTTTTTTATAGCTACGGCAACACTGCAACGCCAAGGATCACCGCTCTGATACCAAATGATAAGACCCTAAAGTCTTATCGTAAAAAAAATGAAAAAAATGATAAGGCTCTGATACCAAATGGTAAGACCCTAAAGTTAAATGATAAGGTCTTATCGTGGAAGAAATGGGAGAAAATGGAATGATAACGATCGCTTCGAGGGGATCGGCCTCCTAGGGTTTGTCTACAGAGTGAAATAACATTTCATTGATTAACTGATTGACTGATTGATTCCAAAAAAAAGGGTTACATAACTATTTATAAAGTTCCGCCTAGAGTCCACTATGACTTGGACTCTTAATAATAAATAAATATTAAATAAACCTCTATTTGACTCTAACTGGACTAAACAGACTCGATAAACAACTGAACTAAATAGACTCAATAAACATTATTCAAAAGCTCAGAAAAAGAATCCTAATAAATACTTAATATTAAGTTAACAGTAGTACACCTATCAGATATTTATAAGTCAATATATATCTTTGCTTGGAAAATCACCCACACTCAAGACGGCGACATCAAGTCTAGAATCAAACTATAGCATTGTGCACGTGCGGCCTAACACAGTGGTGGATCAATATTATGACGAGCTCTTTGTCGATGAGTAGCCTTTCTTACTCGAGCCCATAACTATGCCGAATGCTAGATCAGCTATAATACCTATCATTTGTGAGGACTCAATCTGATAATATAACTTGCCCGTTCACTTGTTGAGCCTAAACTACTGGTCCAAAGTACTTCAATCCATATTAATAAGTAATCAGTAGTACACTTAGATATACATACATCTAAGTGATGTGGGACCAAACCGAGGTGTTTTAAAAACATACCACTAGAATTTTCCTATATGTTAATAAAAAAAGGTGACCCCACAAAACTGCTTCAACAAGAGAAGATTTCTTATGCATTGATATCATCTCCTTTTTGAACCTCTTTGATTGAGAAGAAAAATATTGTGAGGAGAGAATTACACAATGAGAGAGCAAATGCTGGCTTTGGCCATGAGCAAGATCAGATGGAAGAGATTTTTTTTTTATAGCTAAAGTGTGGTTATGAAATTCACTTGCCTACATATCTCACAGTTCAATGCTAATCTTAGATTCACTCTGTATCTTTCAAACCTAAGATGTATTGACGATAACATATGTTATTGCAATTTGCAACCATCGCAGATGAATATTTTTTAGGATATTAAATATTACTAAAAATGGTACTAGTTAAAGAATTAGTATTGCTAATATTTTTAACAGGGAATAGCAACATTATACATTCATACACAATAAAATTACAAAAACAACGCACATGTTGGAATTGTAAGCTCAAAACTCACCAAGTAGAACTTCATAATCTGCTAGTCTGTTATTAATCTAAATAATTCCATCAGCAATCCCTAGTCAATTTCTATAAAAGGTCTGCATTCTTAGTTTTGGAGAAATCATCTGTTGTATCATCCGAATCATTGTGTATATCATAAACTAATAATTCCATCTGCAGTATCTATTCAAACTTCACAAAACAAAAGCATCCTCATCATTGCCATAACCATGCTTCCACATCATCCCAATAACCGTTGCTGCCTCTGGCCTCCTCCCTGTGTTGTAATATGCCTTGTACATTATCAAAAAAGTTTTCCTTGTTCGACTAAACCTGAAATTCTCCATCTCATCCAGAACACCAAGCATCTCCTCCAGGCGATTCTGCTGCCCATACATCACCATCTTGCAGTGATACAGTGATCGAAAAAGCCGCCACCCTGCATATTCTGCCTGTCTGATGAACCCAGCTAGCCGATCCACCGCATTATTTCTGAAGTAATTTGATATGATGGAACGCATTATCCCTGCAGTAGTCACTATAATGTGTCGTTGGAATGCCTTGGATATTAATCCTTCCATTGCTTCAATCATGCTCTCCTGTGCATACATCTTGATTAAAAGTACAGTGACCCAAGGTTTATAGTCATCATCTGGAATCAACTTCATCAAGGCTTCCACTCTTTTGACTCGATCAGGGTGAGAACTCTTAGTATAAGCACATATCATTGCATAGATCAAAGGCCACTGCCGATTATTGACTGTCTCCTTTACTTGATCATAAGTCTTTTCCATCTTCTCTAAATTGTTTGAGTAGGCATAACCCCTCAACATCAGGAGGAGGGTACCAGCATCAGGTTTGACAGGCCCCTCCAGCATAGATTGGTACATCCCCTCCATTTTATCCCACATCCATGCCGTAAGATATGCGGCTATGGCTGTGTTGTAGGTGGTGATGGTGTAGGAGAGCTCCGAATCATTGATTGCTTGGAGGGTGGTCTCTATATGCTCCACGAGCATGGAGCGGCCAAATACAGAAAGCAGAATGTTGTAGCTGACAATGGTGGGCTTGCACTCGGCATCTTGCTTCAGGACCTCAAATACCCAGATCGCCTTCTTGGTGAGGCCATTGTTCATATAGGTGGACATGAGGGCATTATAGAGGCAGACCTCACGGATGCCGTCAGCTATGGCTTGGGAGAAGAGCTCCGCGGCTAGATCGACGTTCTTGGTGCGGCTCGCCAGGGTGATGGCCTTGTAATACTCCTCAGGGAGCATCGGGATCTCGGCATCAGCCTGCCGTTTTCTCCAGTTAAAAACCTAGAAGACGATGCAAGATTAGAACTTTAAGAGTGATTGAAGGAGCCGGAAATCAGATGGCGAAAGCGAGAAAGAGAGACAGTAACAGGTGAAGAACCTGAAGGGCGAGGAGCGGGCGGGACTTGAGGCGGGAGAGGAGCTCTACGGAGGCGAATCCAGCTGGGGGAAGGCGGAGGAGGGCGTCGAAGGAGCCAGAGCCCAGGGAGACCGCAGGATCCTGGCCGTCGGGCAGGGCGAGAAGCTCGTCGGCTAGTGCGGATACGGCAGATCGGACGGCCTCTTTGTCAGCAGAGGCAGTGGAAACGGAGGCAGGGTTCTCGGAGAGGCGGAGGATGCGGTCGCGGAGGTCGGAGATGCCGTCGGAGCAGAAGCCACGCGCGGCAGCGGTTAGATAAGATGGAGACAGGGTGTTGGGGGAGCGGCAGAGCGGGTAATCGAGGGAGAAGAAGCGACGGCTGTGGAGAAGGAGGAAGAGGCCGTGCTTCGCTCTCGCCATCGCCATCGCCGCCGAGCCGTGCGCGGCATCCAATTATGTTTAGGTGGGCAGAAGGGGAATTGGAAATCGACGGTTGGATCGAGAGCTGGTGATCGAATCCAAACAAGAAGTACCGCGTCCAATACCTTGATACTTTCTGGGCCAATATGGGCTGGGCTGAGCTTACATACCGCAGGTTGTTGAAGGGCCAGGCGGCGAGTCGTCCTACTCGGAGATGGAGGCGTTTGTCTTGCGGGCCACGACCACCTGCTCGAAGAAGTCAAGTTGGCAGCACCGCCTCGGGCCGCCTCTGCCCACATCACCAACTGATAGAATGGCGACTATTGGCACAGTTTCAGAAGACAGGAAAAGCAATAATAATGACAATGATGTGGTGCGGATGAATTAATCAACATATGATATAAATAATTAGGATGCTTGAGCTCATTCTCTTCCCCTGCGATGAATCCACTTGTTCTTCATTGTCACTTATTGCCAGAAGACCATCACATCGCTGAAACCTTGCCCTTTCGGATTTCCCTCGTAAACATATTATTCGGTGATTACACATTTCAAATCTCATTATTCTCGAGAGTCATGCGCTTAATTACATTCCCGGTGGGCACGTGGCCAAGCAATCTCCTAACCGTTGCTAACAGCATCAAGATTCGTGCGATGTAGGCGGTGCGACTGGGGCGTGGGAGCGATCGCTGTGGCCTTTTACGACCCACTCGTCTCGGCTACCACTAATAATAGGAAACTGTTGCCTCACACGTGGACCTCCTATGTCCAATCACAATGCAGGCCAGTTCCCCGGGAGCCATTAATGGGTGAGAGAAGTACTACTCGCTTTTTTTTGTTGCGCTAAATTTAGAAAGAGAAAAACCAACGAAACAAACCTACCTGCCTTGTGATAGTACGAAGCTGCAGATTCACACGTGGTCCCACATAGGTCCAGTAATGAGGGTGGTAAATGAATGGGCAACGGAGAGACGGGTGAGAGAGAGGCATATCGCGAGAGCGATAACCTTCGCCTCCGTGTGCTGTCCAAATGTAGAGAGAGAAACAAAAATCGCGTACTTTTTGTCTAACCCCATCCGTCGCCCTTTATAAGGCCCCGTCATTCTCCTTTCGATCTCGTCCTTCTGCCTCACTGTTCCCAATCCTCCGCCCGCTCCGTTACCGTTTTGGGTAAAAGGAAGGAAACAGATACTGGAACAGAAAGCCATGATGACCTTGTGCACGACCCTGCAAACGATGCTGAGGTTCCGCAATCGCGATGACGACCGGCGGCGGCTGAATCAACGCAATCGATGCCGTAATATACCCACTTCGTACGGCGGCGGGCTCCGGATCCTCGCCGGCGACGCGCCGCGGCCGCCGAACGTGCTCGAGTCCTCGGCAGTCGGGCGGCCGCCGGAACGCGTGGACCCCGGCACCCGCGGCCTCCACGAACTGGACTACCACGGGGGGTTCAGCGTCGTCACCGAGGGCCTCGGGTCGGAGAGCTGCGACGGGGGGCTGGAGGCGGAGGAGATGGCGAAGAGTTGGGGGTGGAGTGGCATACCGCGGCGTAGGAGGGCGGAGGCGAGGATGCGGCCGCCTCCCCCTCCACCGCTGCCGTGGCTGGTGGGGCGGACGAGCCGGTTCATGCGGGCGGTGAAGGAGTGTGGGCGGTTTCGGCTGACGGAGGTGCGGTTCGAGCGGCCGCCGGAGATTCTCCGTGCCTCCCGCTCCGGCGGGCGCCTCCGGTTGGACTTCGTCGTCCGATCCGATCGCGAGGAGACTGAGGAAGCAGCAGTAATAGCAGAGCAAGAAGAAGTAGTAGACGATGGTGATGAGGAGGTGAGAGCACCGGCGGTGGTGTCGCCCAAAGAGACGGTGATGCCAACGAGGAAGGGGGAGGAGCGGAGGTGTCAGGCGACAGTGAGCGGTCACGGCGTCCCGATGTGGTGGAATCACCGCCCCATCATCGCGTGACGCGGGAATTAGGGTAGGCGCGTCACTCACGTGCGGGCGACGTCATCCTGATATCCTTTTAGTTACGACATTAACTTAATTTAATATAAAGTGGACGTTTTTTAGATTTGTAGTTTTCAATATATTTTTTTATGCATATTTTGTGTATTATTGGTTAAAATAATAATAAGGAGATTACTTGTTTCGTTGGGTGCTCTGTACAGGACGTGTGTAAATGCTTTTGAAGCTAAAATAACATGATATATAATATATGTATGTATATAGTTTTGTATTTAACGTGTATACATAATATAGCAATCCATGTTTGACTTAATTCCCTTAAATCATGCGGCCGTTACACCATATCCACCTTTACAGCTCATCAATTTTGTCTTATAATGTCAACCTTCACAGTGTAATGACATGATGCAGTCAACTCTTGTTCAAAATTTATGCGTCCACAGTTAGAATTGAGAATGAGATTAGCTTAGGCAACATGCTTAGTTGTAAGCTTCAAATAAGGGATTATAGTGTAATCATAATTTCTCAAAAACATTTCTATTTTGTCTTCTATTAGAAATGAGGTTATATTATTATTAATTTTTACTTAGCCATTTTGAGTCAGTAGTTTAAATGTGACAAAGTTAACATCTCATTAGGTCGAATGTGATAATTAGTATCGGAATTAATCTTGTATTAGACATGATAAAAGATCTAACTAAAAAATTGATTAATCATGGATGAAATGTTATGTTGGGTCTTAATAAGGATCTCAAACCCTTTAAGCGAGAGAAGTTATGAAAGCAGTCTAAGAGAATTTTAACCTAAGCATTTTAAGTTAATGGTTTAGCTCAACAAAAATAGTTAGTCAATTATCCTATCAAGTTAGGTCTTAATAGGAATAGTAATATTAAGTCTTAGTTGGTTCATTATTCTTCGTTGCTATCTTATAATAATGATATCAATATCGAAAGTGAGAGAAGACTTAAATTAATTTATATAAATTTGATGCCATACTTCTTAGGTTAATAGTTCGACTTTAACAAGTTAAGTTAATAGATTAATTATCCTATCGATTCATTTTTTCAATGCTTTTATTTAAAGCAATCAGTGTTTCTTAATTTACAAATGGTCAAAGAAGCAATACAGATACTTACATGCCACAATAGCTTCCTAGATGACAAAAGGGTGCAACACAATGTGGATGTTGATCCTAAGTTTCTTATTCACATCAACCAGCCATTGTTTCTGAGTTCTGCAAGGTTAAAGAGAAGAAAGGGAAAACCAGATGTTGTTTTCTGATGCTTGAGCATCATATCCTGAGGCCTTTCACACCACCACCACCTGAGCTGCAGCAAGCCTTGCAATTGGGACTCTGCAAGGAAAGGAATACATCAAGATTAAATGAACCCTGCATCCAAATGACAAGCTAGAAGACACCAACTGCAATTGGCAGTGACAAATAAGGATGATACAGTAACCTCTGTCATGTAACTACAGGAAAAAAGTGCAAACCCTAAACCTGAAAGGAGAACATGAGACATAGTCCAGCCCAGCCTGTGCAAAGAAAGCAACCGAGGAAGGTTCGCCACCATGCTCACCACATATCCCTACCTGTTCAAGAAACCATACATCCTACTAAGACCTCCTCCTCTGTGCTGCAGCTTCACACATGTATACCACTTACCTTGAGATCAGGCCTTGCTCTTCTGCCTCTTTCTGCAGCAATCTTAATGAGCTGACCTACTCCTTTCTGATCAAGCACCTGATTCCAAACAGGAACAGATCAATCTCCCATAAGCAATAGAATAAGACTCTTTCATGGACTTGTGTTTTACCTCAAAGGGATCATTTTGGAGGATGCCTTTGGATAAGTAGATGGGAAGAAACTTGCCGACATCATCCCTACTGTATCCAAATGTCATCTGTGTGAGGTCATTTGTTCCAAAAGAGAAGAACTCTGCCTGCTCAGCAATCTGCAAACATGAAGTTTTGATGTAGCAATATTTGCAGATATTGCTAGTAGATTCAACTTGAAATCTTGAGAGTCAAGCTTATAACTCAGTTGTAGCATCGAAAGGAAGACACAGCTTTGGATACACAATTTACCTCATCTGCAACAAGGGCAGCCCTCGGAACCTCGATCATGGTTCCGACCTTGTAGCTTATGGAGGTTCCCATCTCAGTGAAGACTTGCTGTGCCACTGTTCTTATCAGACTCACTTGATGCTCAAACTCCTGACACTCAAAAAAGTCAAATAGATTCAGTGTTGAACACTCAAAAGTCAAAGATAATGTAAGATTCGTGCCTGAGGTGTTCCTGTGAGAGGAACCATTATCTCTGGCAAGACTTTCACTCCCTGATTGCTCATGGAGATTGCAGCTTCAAATATGGCCCGTGCTTGCATTTTGGTCAACTCCGGATATGATATGCCAAGCCTAACAGAAGTGTTCTTTAAGTGACAAGTGCTGAAATCATTCAACAAGCAACACAAGAAGAAAAGAGAGCATCGTTGGATCCAACCTGCAACCACGGAAACCGAGCATGGGATTCACTTCAGAGAGCTTCTCTATTCTTGAGAAGACTTCCTCCTCACTTGTGCCAGTCTCGGCGGCCAGTTCGGTGACGATGTCCTCGATGTTACCCTCCGGCAGGAACTCATGGAGCGGAGGATCCAGCAGTCGGATAGTCACCGGAAATCCTGCAAGTCAACGTCAAAAAAGTCAAACACATAAACTCACCCCCGTCGAAAGTCAACCGTGGGAGGAAAGCAGCCTACCGTCCATGGCACGAAAGATCCCTTCAAAGTCCAATCTCTGGTAGGGCAAGAGGAGATCTAATGCCCGCTGCCTCTCTTCAAGATTTGCTGCCATTATCATTTTCCTCACCGCCTTTATCCTCTCATCTGAAGCAAAGAACTGAGGAACAATGGAACAATGGATATCAAACACCAAACAATCTGTTCCTAATCAGTAACACTATTCATTATCATCTTGGCTAAGGTGAATCCTAAAGATAAAGCTGAAGTTACACTGAGCTAACCATGTGCTCTGTCCTACAGAGTCCAATCCCCTGTGCACCATTGTTTCTTGCTGTCAGTGCATCATCAGGTGTATCTGCATTTGCCATCACCTACAATGATGCTAATTTTAGTTCTATTGCGATCATAAATAGAACCTGATATGTGGAGAAAGACGGATCTTGAGAAAACCTTCAGTTGCCTTGTCTCATCAACCCATGACATGAAGGTTTCCAAGTCGCCACTGAGAGCTGGTGGAGAGAGTGGCTGCTTCCCCAGAATCACCTCTCCCGTCGATCCATTGAGTGATAGCCAGTCTCCTTCTTGAACCACTTCGTCTCCAATAACCACGACCTACAAGGCTAAATCCAACATCAGAAAGCAATTGAGATAATAATGCAATTCAATCATGATTTCAGTTCATCTTCTTCACCGATTTCTGAGAGAGAACTCACCTTGTCCGCCTCATTCACACTGATGTCAGAGCAGCCAGAAACGCAGCATTTTCCCCAACCTCGAGCAACCACAGCTGCATGGGAAGTCATGCCTCCCCTTGCTGTTAGTATTCCTTCGGCGGCGTGCATGCCACCGACATCCTCCGGGCTTGTCTCGGTCCTCACCTTCACACATGTCAAAGGATCAACAGTCTTGATGCAAGCTCCAGGCACTGTTCATCTTACTTGCCAGGGGAAATGTCTCACCAAAATGACAGCCTTCCCTTGAGCATGCCATGCTTCGGCATCATCTGCAGTGAAGACGACTTGCCCAACGGCAGCACCTGGTGATGCGGGCAAGCCTGTGGCGATCACCTTATCCTTGTACGCAGATGGATCTTCAAACTACACAGGACATGAACAGGGAATGAGAATCATATGGTGAAGACAGAGCAGAACAGCGTAGGTGAGCAGAGTACTTTGCATACCTGGGGATGAAGAAGTTGGTCCAAGTGGCCTGCCTCGACCATCTTGATCGCAGAACGCTTGTCGACGAGGCCTTCGTTCACCATGTCAACTGCAATCTTCACTGCACCTTTGCCCGTGCGCTTCCCTGTTCTGCACTGCAGCATCCATAGCCTGTTCTCCTGAACAGTGAACTCGATGTCCTGCAACAATGGAGAGAACTCACCTCAGGTAATTGCAGCTCCACAAACTGAAGACTAAAATCTTGAGGTCAACTCCGACACAAACACAAATCTCACCATCATTTCTTTGTAATGCCGTTCCAGAATGTTACAGTTCTCAACCAGCTCGTAGTAAGCTTCCGGCAAGCAATCCTTCATCTTATCAAGATCCTCTGGGGTTCTGATTCCAGCAACTACATCCTCACCCTGAGATAAGGGTGATATGGTTCATCAAGGCTGCCATGAGAAAGTGTGAAGAAGAAGATGCACGACACCTGAGCATTGATGAGGAACTCGCCGTAGAGCTTCTTCTCGCCCGTGCTGGGGTTGCGAGTGAAGAGGACTCCGGTCCCGGAGGTGTTCCCCATGTTCCCAAACACCATGCACTGCACATTTACTGCAGTCCCCTTAAGCCCCTTGATTTGGTTGATGCTCCGGTACTTGTTGGCTCTCGGGCTGTCCCATGAATCAAACACGGCGATCACCGCCATGTACAACTGCCGCTTTGGATCTGCAAGCAGTTCCGATTGACTTCCCTTGGACAGAGTCAAGAAAGATTTGGGGTAGAACACTTTACCTGTAGGGAAATGCTCCCCTTTGGCCTCGGTGTAGACGTTCTTGTACCGTGTGACCAGTTCTTTGAGGTCGGAGGCGGTAAGGTCGGCGTCTTGCTCGACGCCTTTGACCGCCTTCAGGACTTCGAGCTTTTCTTCAAACAGTGAGTGGGGGATCCCCATGACCTTCACAAACCAAACGTAACAGGTTTCGGTGCCCTACAGAGATCAAAGGTGATCGATCGGAAGAATAGGCACATACCACGTTCCCAAACATGTCCAAGAAGCGGCGGTAGGAGTCGTAGGCGAACCTTTCGCCGCTCTTCAGCGCCAGCCCGGCCACCACCTCGTCGTTGAGGCCCAAGTTCAGCACCGTGTCCATCATCCCCGGCATCGACACCTGCCATGAATGCTTCAGCGTAATTACTTACTAGCCCGCACAAGAGCAAGCATGCAATACTCTGATATAGCTACGAGTATCGATCTACCGCGGCGCCGGAGCGGACGGAGAGGAGGAGGGGCTTGGAAGGGTCACCGAGACGAGCCCCCATGACCTCCTCCACGGCACTCAGCCCTTCCAGTATCTCCTCCCAGAGTCCATCCGGAAGCTTTCGGCCGCCTTCCTGGTACTCCTGGCAGGCCTCCGTCGACACGGTGAAGCCCGGCGGCACCGACAGCCCGATGCTCGCCATCTCCGCCAGGTTCGCTCCTTTCCCGCCCAGCTGCCACGTACGCAAGTTTGCATGATGCAACAGTCAACACCCCATGCATGCACACAGCCAGCGACTGGCGTGCACTTACCAGAGACTTCATGCTCTTGTCGCCTTCACTCTTCCCCTTCCCGAAGGTGAACACTCGCTGAGAACATACAGTAGCAGTCGGCTTAAGATCGATTCCGTTGATTTATAGGGGGTGTATAAGTAAATTTAGACAGCGCCATGACGTGGCTGTATCGGTGACTCGGAAGACATACCTTGGTGGTGGTGGGCACGGGGGAGGCGACGGCTTGGAGCCGTTTGCGGGTCCAGCTCCGGCTCCGACCTGACCGTGGCTCCGACCCATTACACCCCTCGCACCTCACGGCTTGAGCTCGACGCCTAGCCAAGCTTCGACGCTCGGCGCCCCAGCGACCCACCCCCTCCCTCCTCCTTAGCTCTTCCACGGGGGGCCATTCCATGGCCGTCGGCCTCTTCTGTACGTATAAATACGTCATGGAACGCACGCATACGCCCTTCGTGGCTGAATACGGCATCTTCTTCTGAATTAGACAGACGAATGAAGCATGAGAACTGCTGATGCTTCATACTATATGAGAAGAAGACAAGAACATGATCTCGAGATCACTATGACTTGATCCGGTACTCTTGATCGTCAAACGCGATCAAAAGAGGTATTTGCAGAACAAGAAGAGATTGGAATCAACTCACCTTCAATTAAATGCTGATAAATTCTGGTCGGTCTTCTTCTTCTTCTTCTTCTTTGTTTGTGCTTGCCGTGTTATGATTCGCTCTCCTGCGAGATATGAGGAAGTCCGAGAGGCGAAAGCGCCTCGGACCTCAAGAAAATACGAAATAAAAACAAAAAACTAATTGACATAATTACCCTCCTCGACAACGAAAGGGCATTCGATCTCACACGCTCGGCTGCAGCGTCCGAAGGATATAAAAGTAAATTCACACATCACCATTGGGCACCTCTTGTGATGCACACGGGAGGATCATAAACGTACGATCGAAGGGGTAGCGTCGGTCCACGTGGCACGATTGCGGTCACAATGAGCCGACATCTTATCTCCGAACCCTGCGCGTGGCCTCGGCGATTTCCAGCCACTTTTGTTTTCGACTCGAATCACGGCTACCGATCATATAACTTTCAACAAAAATTAGATGTGATCAGTGGATGTCACAAAAACACATTGGTGATGCAATTCTATCGCATCATCAATTCATCGTCTTTATAATCCTCGCACAGAAAAGAGGCAACATTCATGTGGAATAAGAGGTTCTTTGTTCCATCTCCATTTAATTTTAATTTCGTAGTATATTTCGATGTAAATTTAGTATTCTGTGCGTTTCTTTTTTTTATTATGTTAAATTTAAATAGCGTACATAATAATATACTAATAAGATAGAGATACATATTGCCATAGCGATCATCATCATCATCGGTATGTAGTTGAATCCCCCTCAGCCAAATCTTTAAGTTGCACGATGATGATGGTGATATCATCGGTTCTTCGTCCAAGCCGTCGTCCATGCCGTCGTCCATGCCGTAACCACGACTGGTAAGACCGGGCAGCAATGGCAGAACAGGCATCCCGAGGATCCGCGAAACAGGACACCTGCGATAACAGGCATGTATCTGTAAGAGACAACGAAGAGAGCTCAAACGAAGCTACGATTCCTACTGTACCATGTCGACCACGGCTTGACTTGAGAGGAAGTCGAAGACCCCATCGCTGGCCACCACGAAGAACGAATGGTTCGCGGTTAGTTTCACCACCTTCAGCTCCGGCACAGCGATCAAGCCGACGCTCTCCAAGTCCGAGTCTCCGAAGCTCCTCGATAAAGCCAATCCGAAGTCCCGCCCCCACAGCCTCGGTGTGTCGGGTTTGTATGTCTCCTCATCGTCGCTCCAGCTCCGTTCGTCGGGATCCTCCTCCCCCGACACCATCGCCCCGTACTGCCTCAACCTCTCGCGCTCGTCCTCCCGGAGCGGCTTATGGTCGCTCGACAGGTCCTCCGCCACCACGCGATCTCCGTCCCAAACGCCTGCCACCGCCCGCGAGTCCCCCACGTTCGCCACGACGAGGGTGTCCCCCCGAACGAGAACTGTGATCGCGGTGGTGCCGCTCGAGGAATCGTCGATCTCGCTGTCGTGGAGCGCCATGTTCGTGGCGGCGAAGGCCGAGCGGTATGCTTCCGTGGTGTTTTCCCACAGGCGAGGGTCACCGGCCAAGATGTCCGTGAGCCTGTCGCGGACGAACGCGGAGCACTGGGCGCCTAAGTCGCCGTGGCCGTCGAACACGCCGAAGAAGTGGAGGTCCGGGTTGCCCTGGAATTGCGTCTTCACGTAGAAGCTGTCCTGGTTGGCGCGGTCCGGCCTGCCGGGGTAGTAGCCCCGCTGCGTGAGGGAGGAGTACTGCAGGCGGAGGCCGGCGCATGGGACGGCGGAGGAGCCGAGCGAGGCTCCGGAGAGGACGTGGCGAACCCTGTGGAGCGGGGCAATCGAGGGGTCGTATTCGTGGACTCGGGAAGGGTCAGCGGCGGCGTGGGTGGAATGGCAGTGGACGCAGCAGTTGCAGCGGCTGCGGCACCACTTCTTGTAATGGCCAAAGCACTCGACATGCACACATGCCATCCTAAGCGGTACAACTTCAAGCTTCCAATGAAGAAGATTATACGACGAACTCTTTCTCTAGTTCGTAGCTACATCTGATACGGGTAATCTGCAGCACCTGATAAGGCTCAAAAAGATGGGCAGAGAACAAGTGAAGAAGCAACAGTGACACGAGAATTGAGTAACCAACAGGGCCAAGAAAGGATGACCAGTTAATTAGGTAAAGGGAATAAAGAACGTTAGGCCAACAGTTGAGTGTTGTCC